CTTGCAAGCCCTTGTCACTGGATGGCAGATCACGAGGATACTTGAAGATGACTTCTGAAGGACAGGACAAGAGGTGTTGCATGCAAGTGGAACACACTCATTAGAAGACAGTTCAAGGTGATATTCTAAAACTACACAGCACCTGCACTGAGGATGCTGATGATGCACATCATCAGTGTGTGTCAGATCTGGGTGCCACAAACACACAGCAAGAGTGTATCTCATGAGTATGCCCCACGAGCAGACACACGTGTCCACCCCACAGAGCTCACCGGGGCGTTTCAAAGTGCCTGTAGAGCACGCGGCTGTAGCCTCCCTGGGCGCAGTAGGCCGGCGAGCAGATGATCTCTAGGTGCAGCTCTTTGGCGAAAGGAGGCACGGAAAGCACAGACCGGCTGCCCTTCCCATCCGCCGCGCCGGTCCTTTCGTACCTCTGCAGAGGGGACGGGCCGAAGCGTGAGCCCCCGCTGCCGCCGGCCCGCTCCCCGGGGTGCCCTGCCCCGACTCACCTGCAGGCGAAGATGGGCGGCAGCAGCGGGGTCACAGCCCAGGTTGAAGGCCAGGGCGGGGTCCAGCAGGGCGGCGCCGTCGGCCGGGCAGCGGCGGGCGGCCCGCGGGTACTCCCAGGGCGGCGGCCGGGCCAGCAGCGCCGCCAGGTGCTCGCGGGCCGCCCCCTCGGCGCCCACCCGCACCCACTCGCCCTGGAACAGCCCCAGCGCCAGCAGCCCGCGCCGGCTCACCCACACCTCGGCCCCGCCGCCACCGCTCGCCCCGCCGGGCACCGCCCGCAGCCGCGGGCCGGCGGCGGCGGTGGCGGCGAAGCGGGAGACGAGGGGCGGCGCGGCGGGGGCGCGGCCGCGGGCGGTGCCCGGCGGGGCGGGCGGCGGCGGGGGCGCGAGGGCGGTGCGCGTCCCGCTGCCCAGCAACCCCTGGAGCGCCGGGCGCGCCTCCAGCACCAGCGGGCCCGGCCCCGGGCCCGGCCCCGGCAGCGCCTCGCCTCGCCGCGCCAGCACCGCGCCGCCCGCCGGCCGCCCCGCCCGCCCCGCCGCCCCCAGCAGCACCCAGGCGAGCGCCGGAGGGCGCCGCACGGGCCACACGGCCACCCGCCGGCCCGCCGCCAGCCCCAGCCGCCGCAGCAGCGCCCCGCGCAGCCACAGCTCCGCGCCGCGCCGCCCGCCCGCCTCCAGCGCCACGGCGCTCAGCAGCACGGGCTGCGCCCCGCCGCGCCCCGCCGGCCGCACCGCCAGCACCAGAGAGCCGCCCCGCCCGCGCAGCGCCGCGCACAGCGCCGGCGGCGCCAGCAGCAGCGCCGTGGCCGGAGCCAGCTCGGCCGGCGGCGCGTCCAGCGGCCGCAGCACCGCCACCGCCATCGCGCCGCGGGCACGGAGCCGGGGGCGGGCCGGGGCGGAGCCCGGCGGCCGCCCGCCCCGCTGAGGCCACAGAGCGGCGGCGCAGAGCGGCTCTGGAGGGTGGGAGCTGTGCAGCGCGCCCGAGCGGCTCCGCTCCTACACCTTCTCCGAGCCGTGTCCGTGGCAGCGACACTCCGTGACGCTGGCCCCGTCCTCCCCAGGCTCCAGCAGGTCTGCAGCCACAGACTGCGGAAGGTGGAAGAAAGGGGGAATGGGGCCAAAAAGGCGGGCGAGGGAATTGGCACTCAGGGCAGAGCAGGGTGCCCTCGCCAGTGCGAGCCTCTTGAGACGTTGTGGGCCTTTGGCTTAGAACAATGCACTTGTATTGGTGCTAGTGCTGAACTAACCTTGGAAATCATAGAATTGTAGAATATCCTGAGTTGGAAGGGACACATCAAGATCATCAAAGTCTTGTTTCTGCCCGTGCACAGGACAACCCCAGTAATTACAGAGAATACCTGAGAGCATTGTCCAAACACTCCTTGAACTCTCTCAGGCTTAGTACTGGGACCACTTCCTGTGAAGCCTGTTTCAGCACCCAACCACCCTCTGCGTGGAAAACCTTTTCCTAATATCCAGCCTAAACCTCCCCTGACACAGATGCACAACCATTCCCTCGGGTCCTGTCACTGGTCACCACAGAGAAAAGATCGGTGCCTGCCGCTCTGCTTTCCCTTGTGAGGAAGCTGCAGATTGCAATGAGGTTTCTCCTCAGTCTCATCTTCAGGCTGAACAGACCAAGTGACCTGAGCCTTCCTCTTATGGCTTCCCCTCTAGAACCTTCACAGTCTTTGTAGCCCTCCTTTGGGTGCTCTCTAATAGCTTTAATATCTTTCCTATATTGTGGTGACCAAAACTGCACACAGCCCTCGAGGTGAGGCCGCACCAGTGCAGAGTACAACGAGACAATCACCTCCCTCGACCAGCTGGTGATGCTGTGCCTGATACACCCCAGGACACAGTTGGCCTATACCTGGAGCAGTCTGGAGACAAAGTCAGAGCCTCTGATCAGTGCCTGTGCCCTCAGCCAGAATCCAGCTTGCTCTGGGTAAGATGCTGCTCGTTATACAAAGTGTCTGCTGGTGATACAAGACGTGAGTAAAGAAATGCAAACCCCGTAGGGTTCTTTAACTGTGGATCCAGACACCCCTGTGCGTCGCCTCACAGCTAGACACGGGTCTGTGGGAATAAGGGGAAGAAGTGAGTCTTCCGGTTGCCTCTAGGGCTGCAGCCAGCCTTTAGGCGTTCCTGGGCTGCTCGCCGTGTCCCACCGCCCCTCTCCACACGAGGGAGCGCTTACAAAACGTTCGTACTCACTTCCTAACCTCCCTGAAAATCCAGCCAGCGATTTGAGAGGATCCGGAAAAACAAAATGCCAGTTAGAAATGAATACTTCTAAGAAGTGTCACCATGAACGTGCTTCTGCAAAGGCAGCCCTGCAACCTTCTCTGTTCTGGGTCCATCAAGGGGACACCTCCTTGCAACCCCTAGACGTGCATGCCTGACAGTCAGCTTCCAAGCCAAGAGACGCCAAATAGTAGCATTTTATTTCTTTTCCCCTTCCCTCGTCCCTTCTTCCATGATTGGTTTGGCAGATCCTGTAAGTCCCTGGCTAGTTTGTGCAGTGAAAAAATCTGCATGTGCCAGGGCAGGTGGCAGCCCAGATGAACTGAGGTGAGGTTGCGGCAGCTCTGGCTTCTGAACACTGGCTTTGAATTTATTGACTCCTTTTGCCTGAGCCACATGGGAAGGATCTCTCACCTGAACAAGCCCAGCATCTGTGGCTGAGGGACCCCCAGGGCCCCTCACAGAGGGACGCTCATGACAGCCAGGCCCTGATGTGGTCACCAAGACTGCTCCTGGGTCTCATATAGGCAACCCCACTGCAGCAGTGGAGATGTGTGCAAGTGGCAGCCACTGCCTTAAATCAAGGTTTCTTCTGTTGCACTGTCATGACCGGGCCAGGCCTGAACCAGCACTGGCAAGAGCCGTGGCTGGGTTTGGCTGCCAGTAACCCCAGCATGGGTCAAATCTGAAGCAACAACAAGAATATGCTGCCCTACTCCTGTTGCAGCTCCAACCACAGTGACATATGGAGCACTTCCCTGCCAGGTTTAGCACAGGCAGCTAAGAGGCAAGTGACTACCTACTCTAAGGATTGTCCCCAGGATTGCCTTGCCACCAGGAACTGAACCTGGGCAGTCACTGTCATCCACCACCAGTGTGTGCACCCCCACAGTTACTTCCCAGCACATGAAAAAGTGCCTTGGGCCAGCAGCTGTTCCCTTGGCTCCCCCTTCACAGCATGTGGTGTAGTGACAGCTGGGAGCCTACAAGGCACTACCAGGAGAGTTGTCCGCACCCTGCACAGGGCTGGAACTATAGTGTCTCCCCTTGTAGCAGTTGTGGTGGTGACATGCTTGCTCTCACAGCACTGCACTGGACCCAGCACAAGGCGAAGAGCCAGGCCATCTGCACGCAGGCAGAGGGAAAAAAAAAAAAAAAAGATTGCAAGCATCCAGTGCCAGCATGGCACAGCCCAAATAAAAGGTTTGCAGATGCTGCTCAGGCAGGATTAGGCCTCCAATGTGTTAAGTCTCGGCTCTCGGTGAGCCTAATTGCTGCTGCAATAAGCCCTGGCTGGTCCTTTCCTGAACCGTGCTCCCCACAGCCCCCCCAGCAAACATTTTTTTTGCTGCGAAGCAAAAGCTTGTGTTTGCCATGCATTTGTTACCCCTGGTAAGGTCTGGCCAAGCAGTGGAGGTGAAAGGTGGGAAATCTGCACATGCCACGTATTGCTCTGCTCTTCCCAGCAATTGTCCCTCCGCTCTCCCCCTGTGCAGCACAGCTTGTGTGTAGGGAGCCAGGCCCAGCAGCAGAGGCAGGAACAGGTGACAGCATCATTACATGGCCACGCACCCCGAGCTGTATTAGGAAACTTTCCAAATTGGAATTACTCAGATTCTAATAAAACCTTTTGATAATTTTCCGTTATGTTTTGGCTGGCAGATGAAACTGGAGGTGTTCCAGGAGAGCTGTCACGGCATGTGCACGGGCCAGTTCAGTAACTGCCACAAGATGTGCCAAAGGAAGGTATAAATTGCAATGCAGAGAATGAAAACCAAAGATACACCACAATTTTATTTATGGATGCGTAATAAATAAATGGTGGACAATACAGGAAGAGCCACATTCAAAAATCCAGATCACTAAAGTGCTTTTAGACACAAATATGGGGCAACCAAGAAACAGCTCTGACATTAACATTTTTTACAGACAATTACAAAATATCTTCTTCTGACAATTCACAAAATTGTTTAATTGCTCTGGGGTACTATGGCTTGCTTTTCAAAAAGGTCTGTTCTATTATGCATAGTGTTGCAGGTAACATTCAAGAGTGTACAAAATCATTGCATAAACAAAAATGTCTTTACCCCCTTCTCCCAAATATGAGTTAAGGAAGCTACACAGTGTAAATCCAGTGATAAGGCTGCATTGGCAGGCCAGATCCTCAGAAAGTGTAAACCTGAGTGTTTATACATCCTCAGGTTACACCAGCTTGAGGATGAACCCCACAGTGTTTAAAAACCCTGCTTATCCTTGAGGTGGAAGAATTGCGTGTTCAACATGGAAGGACTGGCACGTGGGCGCTGTGCTTGGAGAAGACGTCTGTAAACTCCTGCACCAGCTTTGCACCTGCCTGTTGGAGGGAGCGACTCCCATTGCGTTGCTCCTCTTTGTGCTCCTGGCTAGCTGGGGAAGTGGTCACAGCCCAGAAGGAAAGAGTGGCTCTTCTCCAGCAGCATTCCGTGCTGACCACAATGCAGTCCCATTTTCGCACTGCTCTTGGCCCTGCTGGGACACTTCTCCCACCCTCCACCCTGGCTCCGCTGAGAAGTGAACAGCTTGAAAGTGAGGGGACAAGGGGATGTGTGTGCTCGGTTTTAAAATGCCCTGAATTCAGATAGAAGTTCCATTATTTAAGAAAAAATATATATATCAATAAATGAATAAATATTATTATCTTGCCAGGACTCTGTGAGGTCTGGCCTCCTCCAGGGCAGCCCAAGCTCAGTGGTCCCTGTCGTTCTGCTCTGGGGGGGGTGTCCCGTTGATGCACTGCCTCAGTACACCCCTCTTCTCGTGCTTGGCTGTCCTGGAGAGGTCAATGGCTGTGTCCTCTGAGTCTTTTGCAGGGCCAAGCTTGTCGGAGCCCCTCTGGGAACTGGCCTGCTTCTCTTTGAGTTCCTCCTCCTCCTGCTCCGTTCGCCAGCCATCTGCCAGCTTCTCTTGGCTCTCTGCCTTCCTGCTTACCTCCATGGATTTTTTGTGCATGCCTTGCAGAGGGGAGAGAGCAAAGGCAAAGGTGCTGGTTGCTTATTTCTGCCTGGGACTGCTCATCATCACTTCCTGCACTCCTGCTGCTTCCTTCAAGTTCTCACTTGCATCCTAGGGAAAACTCTCTCTAGCTACCAGCCTTTCCTGACCCAGAGCCCTGCCACCTGCTCTCTGCAGCCCAAGAGAATGGATGTGGCAAAGTTAGTCCATACCTCCCCTTGCAGTACAAGGAGAGGGGTGGTGTAATGGCTCATCCCTGATTTTGACTGTGTATGAGCAGAGGGTAGCTCTAAGGTAGCATTAACTACCTTAGTTATCTTCAGCTTGGGGGGGAATGACACCTTGCAACTCCCATGCTGCCTGCTAGCACTACAAAGCAATACCTAGTCACATGCAGGCACCTGTCTGACACAGCAGTAAAAGGTTTTCCTAGCTGTTCTTTGCAAGGAGGGAGTGGAAAACCCAGGACACTTGGCAGCGTCCAGCTCAGGGTCGAGACCCTGTTCTTTTCTGGGAAAAGGCAAAGATAGCCATATGAAAGAAGAAGGGCCGTTCACTCCACAGCTGCACCCTAACCCCCCCAGCCCCACGGTCCCACTCACCCAGCAGCCACGGGGCGCAGG